CTTCCTGCTCCTCTCCTTTCCTATCTATGCAAAATAAATATGGTTTTAAACAAGGACATCAGGTAACCTCTTTTCTCTGAAAAAATTTCTGGAATTCTCTACGTGTTCTCTGTTCTTCCTCTTTGCTTAAGTTCCAGATAGGACTGAGCCCCAGACTTTGAGATTACTTCTAAAATAGAAGTGAAGATCAAAAAAGGCTACATTTGGCCAGGGCAGATATATGGGAGAAGGTGGAGAAATAGGACAGCATACCACGTCCTGTCAACTTTGTAACTATCTCCTGCTGGGTGACATTTTCTTGCTATTCATTAGTTGAAGGTCTACAGAGGAGCTTTCACGGAAGCATGCCTGAGGCAAGTCTCTGGAGAGGGTGTGTAGTGAGAGGTATCTGTATGGATGTGCATATATATTGAGCGCCAAGAATAAAGGAGACAGGGGTGGAACAAAACAAAAAAGGAGGAAAGAAATTGCCTTTAAATACTATGTTTGCAGTGGCTGTAGTTTTTATAGAATGATGTTGTGTTCTGGAAAAATGGAATCAAACTAATAGTTTCACGACTTATGACAAGAACAAGAAGATTAAAGCGTAAACCGGGAATGACTCAGGGAAAGGGTGAATGGGCCTATTTGGCAAATACCCTTTTTTAGTGAGACTTAGGAGAGAGCTGACACATGCATCGGTACAGACTATACAGGTGCAAACAAAGGAAAATAACATTTGAAGTTAAGTTATCCCAGGACCTACATCATAAAATGAGTTATAGATCAAGACCAAAGCTGTGCTGAGGTTTAACATAAACTGTTTGCCAGAAACAGGCGTTCACATGTCATTTCTGAATTTTTATTAAATTCATGTCAGGAGATTACGAGTATCTCTTGAATCTAAAGACCCTTTCTTGGTTGGCAAGATTTACTACTTCTGAGGGCAACATAACAGTAGACAAGTTAGTAATGCTATTGATGGCAGTCAATGTGTGCTGGGAAAATAAACATCAATCTACTAAGTAGGATGACAGCGTGAGGTACCAGAAGACTGTAACCACAGTCTTAACAGTAAGAAATTGCAATTTCCCCTGCTGTGTTTTAAGCCTCGTTTATATGACTACTGCATTATACAAATTAATATTTAATGCAGTTCAGCATCAAGCTTGTCAAACAGTAGTGCAGGATGTAGACCCTTGCAAAATCACGCATTTTCCGTGTTTGATAGAGGGTAATATCATACATCTTTTTCTGTTTTTCATTTTAGCTGATTCAAGCCCAGAGTTGTCTCACCAGCCAGTCCCCTTTTTGCAACCAATATTGTTGTGTAAATCACACTGACCCAGTGAAAATGAAAGGAAAGCAGATTTTCTTTTCAAGTGTTCCGAGAAATAATACCATGGATTATTGGAGAGTATTCTGTATGTGGAAGGACTGAGATAACACTGAAATTAAAACATTGACTTCTGTTCTTCTCTCTTATTCAAATTTACATTGAGAAATATGACTTTGGGGGATGGGGTATGATAATGACGAAGAAAGACTCCCCTGGGCTTATCTTCTTTCCTTTGGTATGTTAGTAGTTTGGTCAGGGAAGGTGGGCGGGTCAAGGAAATAATTTAGTAAACTCCTTTGATCTAAAGGGGAAAGATACCCACTGTGGATTCATGGGCAAATATGTCATGATTTACAGCAGCCTGTGACGATATCCTGCTGCCCTTATGAGGTGGATGGCAGTCCTGTCTGTTCTCAGGCTCAGGGGGGAAACTGAGATACGTTTCCTTATTTTTCTTGACTTGAAGTCAACCTAGTTATTTTTCTTGCATTGGAGACGGGTTGGTGCTCAGTGAAACTTAGCTGTCATATGGCAGATGGCCATGACTATGGCCATTACTGACTATGATCGGTCTTAGGCAAAATAATGAAGCCAACAAAATTTGTTATCCCCCTCCAGCCACTTCTCCCTTCCTTTGCACATTTTCTTTTCTTTCTTCTTTTTTTTTTTTTTTTTTTTTTGGCGGTACCCGGGCCTCTCACTGTTGTGGCCTCTCCCGTTGTGGAGCACAGGCTCCGGACACGCAGGCTCAGCGGCCATGGCTCACGGGCCCAGCCGTTCCACGGCACATGGGATCTTCCCAGACCGGGGCACGAACCCGTGTCCCCTGCATCGGCAGGCAGACTCTCAACCACTGCACCACCAGGGAAGCCCCCTTTGCACATTTTCAACCCCACTTTCAGTTTCAATTCATAGTCCTCATGCACACCTTTACCAGACTGGTTGGTTTTCCTTTGGAAGTACACATCCAGCCATTTTAATTCTTTCCCATTAAAATATGCATCCCCTTGATGTTCTTACTTCTACTAAATATTACAGGAAGGTTATTGTGGAAATTTTTAATCTAATTTACTCTAGTTTTAGAAGCCGTTTGTCATAATTAACAAGGCCCCTATATTTCCAGTCACTAAGTATTGGTGAAGAAGTATTTTGGTCACAAGAGGCCTTCCCAGGAGTCTCATAGTGATCACACGTGAAGAAATGATGAAATTATAGTGATGACAGCTTTTGTCTCTGGATGTGGCAACTGCATTCTCCAAGTTTCTCAAGCTGGAATACCTGGAATCATCCTCGACTCCTCTGTTTCCCTCACACCCCACATCCGATCATTGGCAAATCCTGAAATGTCTAACTTCACATCCTGAATCTGCTACTTTTAACCACTTGCACTGTCTTTTTTCACCTGCCTTTTGCTTTAGTCTCCAGAGTCAGTGATTCCCAATGTGAGTATTATCAAAATATTTTGAAGCATTTTCAAAACATGTAGAGCCATGTTCCTTAGTCAGAGGGGTTGAAGAAGACATTAGGCCTTTAATGGGCAGGGGCCAGTGATGCTAGATGCTCTTCAACACACAGAACAGTCTCTTAGTCAGAGGGGTTGAAGAAGACATTAGGCCTTTAATGGGCAGGGGCCAGTGATGCTAGATGCTCTTCAACACACAGAACAGTCCTCCAGAAAAAATGAATTATCCTCCATCCTGCTTTCCTTTTCAATGTCTCACATTCATGGTCATTCCTGAGCCTAGAATCGAATTCCATTTTATTTATAAATACAAAGTGGGTTTTTGTTTTTGTTTTAATGTATAGGAATTTTCCAGGAATGTGCCTGTTGTGTAAATTGAAGGAATGTTATATTTAGTGTTGTTTTAAACTATTAGGATTTTTTCATCATCTCAGAAAATGACATCGTCATTGGCTGTGCTGTTCTTGGTCTTTGAGTTGCCAGTATAAAACACTGGTCAGCTCTTTTAGCTTTCACATTTACAGCAGGCATACAAATGGGTGTCAAAATCTGATCCTTAGTCGCTGTTTTCTAATGTCGTCTTGCAGGAAAAGACACATTGAAATACATAATTTTTCAAATAAATTATTTTTCATTTATTGATGTTTGGTATTAAAAATAGGGCTTTTGAAATTCTGTATTATTTTAAGTGTTGATTTCTTTTGCTAATCAGTTGTATTGGTAGGTTAGATTTATTTAGAATTGTAAAGAGGGCACTATTAATATTTTTTATTTTAAAAAATGCACTGGGCTTGATAGGGTTGAGAATCACTCTCCTACTGGTTTCTTCTTCTTTGCCTCCCCACCATCAGTTCTTCCCACGGCTGTCAGTTATCCTACAACCCTGGAGTAGACCCTGCCACCTCTTTTGGAAGAGTTCTCCAATGGCTTCTGTGCCACGTAGAATAAAACGCCAGATGAAGGGCTGTGTGCTTTTTCCCTGATAACCTCTCTGCTTCCGCTCCTAACACCCTTGCTCCAGTAACACCCCCAGCTGACTCCTCTTTAGTCAGAACCGATCTTGCAGTTTTCTTCACACATCCAGCAAACACCCACCCGCTTGATGGATGGCGGTGCTGTACTTCATTCCAGCCTCTGCTCAAACGTTTCCCTTTCCTCTCAAAAATTATCTTAGACTCCCTGCCTTCATGATATCTTCCCTCACCTTGGTTTTACTTTTTTCATCCTGTTTATTAGCTCCTGATACATTACACATGTACATTTCTGTCTCTTCTCCTTAGTAGAATATAAACGGTATGAGAGCAGAGATTCGGTCTGTTTTGTTCCCTGCTTGATCTGTGATGCCTAGAATGGAGCTGGCATGTCATAGTCACCCAACTATATTGAATGAATGAGTGAGTGTCTGTGTTTTCAAATTTCAAGGTTGAATCCTGGGAGTGACTTTTCTTAAGAGCAAGATCTGGGGCAATTCAGCTTTAAGCCTCAACTTCCACATCTCAATCAAGATGCCTAGTTCTTAGGATTCTTATAAAGGTTAAGAAGGATAATTTATGTAAAGCCCATATATATTGCACAGAATATATAAATATTCAGTGTAAAATATCTATCCATTTATCTCATTTATTCATCCAACTGTGCATTTACTTGTCCCTGTGTTCTCTCTCTCGTATCTGATCCTCTCACTCTGACAATTCACAGAGTAGTTAGATTGGCTCCAGTGTGCCTTTGGTCATGTGGTTTTTGAGATTTGTATATCTTGTAGGTATACATAGACCCTGAAAGTGATTCTCCCAAAGAAGACAGAAACTTTCATAATCTGTTAGGTGTGATAGAAAAATTGATATAGAAAAACTCTTTGGGAATATATAATATTATTTTATTATTATTAGTCTATTCTAGAAAATGTTTTCACCTAGTCGATCTGTTTTACTGGATCTCATCTTTTCTTCTACCTCTGCAATTGTTATAAGAATTTAATTCTAGGAAACGTGTTAAACTTAATTGCCAGATGGGGGGAACTGACCAGGATGTTGCTGCATCATTGGAACCTTTATAAAATTATTCATATAACTAGAGAAGTTGGATTTCAGTAGAAACAATAATTTAAATCCATTTATAACAAATTTAATTAAAGAATTTTTGTCCATTAGAGACATAGAAATCAATCACACAAGTGCTTTTTTCAGTACTTTCACTCTCCAATTTTTCCTTTTTCTGTAGGTCATCCAGAGATTTTTGCCTTATTTCAGTCATTAAGGTAAGTAGTAATTTGTGGGTCTACTTATTGGTTATTTGCAGGAAAACTCCTGGTTACTAAATAACCAATATTTTACTCTTATTCCTGGAGTTTAGGGAAGAGATATGCCCTTTTATGAATACACAGTAATTGAAGATGCAATAAGTATTTCATATATAAATTGATTCCTTAGACGAAATTTCAAAATCAATTGCAGCATCATTTGAAAGAGCAAAAAACTAGAAACAATTCAACTCATAAGGAGGTTGGTTAAGGGGGGAAATGGCATAGCTATATAGACATAGTATTTGTAAATTAAAACATATACATTTACCCAGAAGGATATATATCAATTTGTTGAATGGTTTTTGCTTCAGGATTAGAGTTATGAAGTAATTTCACCTTCTACATATATCAACTTGATAGATTATGATTATTATCTAATAATAATTATATAATGGTAATAATAAAGCAATGCAGATTAAAATCCTCTACATTTTCTAGAAAGGAATCATATCTGATATTAAGTACATTTTCCTATAATTTAGGAGTCAGAAGAGCTTATATATTCAGTTCAATGCTTCTGGGAAGAATGTAATTTGTAACATGCATAGAGTACTTGGACAAGCTACTTAACCTTTCTGAGACCGTTTCCTCACTTGTAAAATGCGGATTATAAGAGTAACTACCTCAAAGAGAGTAAAACTGAATAGGAGAATTACTACTCACACTGTTGGCTTGACTTTAAATCAGAACAACAAAGCCCTTCCAGAAGAATAGGGGACACAGAGGAAATACTGCTTATTAGTGGTCGTAGCCTTTGCCTCCCCTCCAGAACTTTACGTCTATTTCTTCTTTCACATATTTAAATAGAAATTATTATTTTACTGCACCTTCTTTTGGGCTTTCTTCCTAAGCTCACTGGGAAAGGATATTTTCTCTTCAGAAGCTAAAGAAATTTGTCTAATTCTCCAGCAAGAGTTTAAGAAAGGTTTAATGCTGTAACTCTAGGTCATACCACAAGGACTTGGTCCCAACTGTGTACAGAAGTATATGTGCTCAATATCAGGTAAGAGAAAAGACAGAAATTGAGCCAAGTCCTTACGGGTGTAGTCCAGATCTCCAAAGATCTTGAGCTTATATGACTCATGGAGAATAATCATGTTAAAACGAATGTCTTTATATTGCTGTCTCATTACCTGCCATCTGAACAAAAGTAGGGTCTTGGCTGCTCTCCTCCCCTAAAATTTCCTTATGAATGTCTCTGGGGGTTTTCATGTACCCATGACCAGCACTTTATGTTCCTCTATCATGTCAAATAACTTGTTGATATTTCCTGCCTCATCTTGCAGTGCTTTTGCTACAAAGCATCTTGCAGTGGCTCTGCTTTTTACAAGGATGTTCCATGAGGCTCCAGGTTCCCTGCCTCCTGATGCTACCCGAGATGTAGAACCTTTGAGCTGCCAAATGCTGTACATTCCTTTATTTTTATTGTGTTAGGATCAATCTCAGTAGCAATACAGAAAATAACTCTTTCCCCAAATAATGAGAATAAAGTTGTCCAAAGATCCCAAAGCTTTGCCAAGTACTTGCTCCTTGAATGTTGCCCATTTCCCAAAACTGTCCTTTTCATTTCAGTTCTTAGCCCAGTGAATCAAATCGACTTCCTGTCTGGGGGATAAAGTTCATATAGTCTTATTCCTTCCTCACCTTCCAGGTTTTTCAGAAGAACTTGGTCCTCCTTCCAGGTTCCTCACAAGAACTTTTTCTCCTATGAGCTAGGAACATCGTCCCATGAATTCTGTAGATAAAACCAGATTTTAAGGCTAGACTGTAAGATTCATCTGGGAACCCAGATATTTGTAGTTATGAGAAGGGAAAGAGAGATAGTATTTTTGATGGCCTTGTCATATGTTTCATCCCATTTTGTGTTTACAGTAGTCCTGTGAATTAGTTTTAGTGCTAGGTTTTGTCTGTGGACTGAATTCTCGATCCTTTCTCAATCATTCTGCATTTTCATCTTTTTTATGGGGGCTAGAAGTCTTGAAACTATATTCCCCAGACTCTGACTCTCTTGCTGCCAGGTCTTGGGTATGGTTTAGGTTTGGCCATTGAGATTTACTTATGCAAGACTGGAAAGGTGAAGGGATGCAGAAGTGGTTTTTCCTCCTTCAGTGGTGGTAGCTGATACGTAGACTTCCACAGACAAATTTGACAGGAGCTGAACTGAGTGCTGCACTACCTGGTTCCCAGATTTAGGGCTGTGGGCAGTTGGGAAGTTGGCAGTTATGTCAGGAGGTTTTCTCACCTCTGGGTAACAGCAGCAGTTTTATAATCTTTCACAACTGCAGTGGCATGAGTTGAAATCTAACAGCAACCCTATGAATTTTGTTCATCTAACACTTCTAATAAGTTTGTAAGCATCAAATTCCTCATAACCAATCTCTTTCAATATGGAAATACTTAGAGGAATTTCTGTTTTCCTCCATTGAACCCTAAAAGACATTGTGTTTTTTTCATGCTATTATACATATGAGATAGTGATAAAATTAGTAAATCTTATAGACACATTCACTGACTGAATTTTTTTAAGTTATAATATTCTATTGCCTGCCCAAACCACTTAACAGTGATTGGAATATATTAGACCTTCAACAAGTGATAGTTTTAATATGATATAATCCATCTCTTCTTGCATAAAAAATTATATTGTCAGTCTCATTTTTGGTCTTCTTTATTTATTTGTTTCAGGCATGTTAGAAGTGGGCTTTTGTCATTTTTTGAGCTTAGTACAAGAGTTTTTTAAAACAATTCTCTATTTCCCTCACCCTCTATCCCCTGGCTACCACGATTATATTCTCAGTTTCCATGAATTGGACTATTTATATACCTCATATAAGTAGAATCATGTAGTTTTTATCCTTCTGTGATAGATTTATTTTACTTAGCATAATGTCTTCTAGGTCCATTCATGTTGTCACAGATTGTAGGATTTTCTTTTTTTAAGGCTGAATAATATTCCATTATATGTATATACCACATTTCCTTTATCCATTCATGTGTCAGTGGACATTTGGGTTGTTCCCATATCTTTGCTATTGTGAATAATGCTGCAGTGAACAAGGGATTGTAGATATCTGTATGGGATCCTAATTTCAATTCTTTTGGATGTATACCCAGGAATGGGATTGCTGTATCATATGGTAAGTTCTCTTTTCAACCTTTTGAGGACACTTCATACTGTTTTCCATAATGGCTGCACCAACTTACATTCCCATCAGTAGTGCACAAAAGTTCCTTCTTCTGCACATTTAGCCAACACTTGTTAGCTCTTGTATTATTGACGATAGCCATTCTAATAGGAGGGAGATGATATCTCACTGATTTGCATTTTCCTGCTGATGAGTGATGTTGAGCATCTTTTCATGTACCTGTTAGTCATTTGTATGTCTTCTTTTAGGAGACTGTATTCAAGTCCTTTGCCCATTTTGTGATATGGTTAATTAATTTTTAAACTATTGAATTGTAGGAGTTCCTTATATATTTTGGAAATGAATCCCTTATCAGATACATGGTTTGCAAATATTTTCTCCTAATCCAAAGGTTGCGTTTTCATTTTGTTGATTGCTTTCTTTGTTTCTAATTTTTGAGCTTAGTTTATAAGAAATCTTTTTGATGAATCCATCTCATTTGTCTGTATACAAAAGAAACTTTTAGTCTTTATGAATAGGTGTAATGGATATTCATTAAGCTAATATTAATTACTGAGGTTAGTAGATGGCATTAACCTGTTTTACATTCATTATTATTTTTAACATAATCTTGCTGTTCTTCCATCGTTCTTTCCTCTCTAGGTGGGTCACATTTTCTTCTCTCTTTTCTATGCTGAAGAAGTTTAGATTGTACCCTGAACATCATGAATGTTATGTTTTGGAGGCTCTGTATTCTGTTAGTCTTCCAAAGAGTGTTAATTTCTTGTTTCACAGACAATTAACTTCATAGACAAAAACAATCTCTTGGGTTGTAGTTCAATTCTCAGCTCAGTTATTTTATTCTTACCCGGACTGTTTTGAATGTGCCACGTGCATGCATAATTCAAGGTTCAGCCACAGACGTTTACACAGAATTTGTAGCTCCCCATCTCAGTCTCCCTTTCTTCCAAGATTCCCCTCTCACTTTCCAGAATTCTGTAATCTGTTATTTTCAGGCTAGAAAGATGGGGATTTTCCATGAGAATTTTAGCTACCATGAACAGCATCAGCTATAATACAGTGTCAACTTAGAGCATGTTGTCTCATGTTGTTTGCTGATTCAGTAGTTGACTCCCCTACAGAATTTGCCTGTTTTGTTCACTCTCCAGGGTCTTTAGACAGTGGTTTGTTGCATTTTGTCAGAAGTTTATAGTTTTTTATCTATGGGAAGGATGTTCTGGTAGAAGCTTAGTCCATCATATCAGATCTGAAACTTATTTTTAAATTTAATTATTTATTTTTAATTGAAGTATAGTTAATTTACAATATTATATTAGTTTCAGGGGTACAGCATAGTAATTTAGTATTTTTACAGATTATACTCTATTAAATGTAATATATGTAATTCCCTGTGCTGTACAATATATCCTTGTTGCTTATCTATTTTTATATATAGTGGTTTGTATCTCTTAATCCTGTACCCCTAACTTGCCCCCATTCCCTCTCCCCTCTTCCAAACACCAGTCTGTTTTCTATATCTGTGAGTCTGTTTTGCTATATACATTTGTTTGTGTTATTTTTCAGATTCCTCATGTAAGTGATATCATGCAGTATTTGTCTTTCTCCATCTGACTTATTTCACTAAACATAATATTCTGTAGGTCTTTTTTATTATTCCCAAACAATAGAAGTTTATTTATTGCTCACATGAAATCTTAAATAGTGATTCCATCCATGTCGTTACTTCATGTCTCAGTTCCTTCTGTCTTGAGAGTCTGCTCTTCTCAGGAGCAATAAATGGAGGAAGAGTACGGAGCATTGCACACATGA